AGCAATTAACATGTCGGGGGTATTTTGAGAACAGGGTTTTGAGAATATTTGGATGTTGGTGAGAGAATTATAAAGAGGGTGGACAGAATTATATAATAATCTTCTTAATCCTTAATCAGCGTAAAATATTATTGGAGCTGTGAAGTAAAGGATGCCGATTTAAGTGGGAAATGTAATACGAAAGAGATAAATGAAAGAATTAAGTCGTGAATCCTGAAAGGAAGGAGCGAATTGGGAGAAAATTAAACGTGGATAATAAAAAAGTAGAATGTTAGTAAGTGGACTGAAGTCATGTAGCTCAGAATGTACTTTAGTGACTGGCTGTAACACGGTGATGAATTTTCAGCCTCTGTAATGGCGGGAAATGTTTTTACCAGCTGTACCAACGCATTGCCAAGAAAGAATTCTCCATGTTGTTGCTTTTTGTACAACATTTACTCAAATTCCGTGCATCACTTGTGTAATTTCTTGTATGTTGTCGCGAACTTATTAAAAGGCAGGTGCTTCTAAAAATAATTGTACATAAATTGTTCACTTCGTGAAGATCTGCTAATATTTAAATATTCCATGGCTCTACAGTCCTTCAAGGGCCTTGGCCTCCTCACGTATGGGAGGTTTCTTTCTCTGTTTAGACATTTTGTAGAACTCCTTGGATGAGCGATCAACCCATCGTAAGGCCTCTGCCTGTACACAGGGCAACACAACACAGAAAGACGCGGACAGACATCCATATCTTGGGTGGGATTCGAACCAGTGTCCAAGAGATCAAGGCCCACGCCCCAGTCCGCGCGGTTACACTGACTGGCTAAAATTTAAATACCAGTAGGTAATCGTTTAATAAAGAATGGAAATTTAATTAAACTGTATAACTTTAATTTGGATTAGCCGTAAATAAAAGTAATGATAATGTTCAGCCCTGAACATGGAACTGTTTGATTATCAGAAACTCTGGTGTCTACCTACAAGTCTACACGGATTTACAACCCAGAAGACGGATATCTTCATACTCACCGCTGTGGAAACCTCAAATCATACATTTTAAATATGTCCGGTTTCAGTACACTAGCTGAAACTCTATTGAAAATTTACATAACATTTTAAACAGGTCTCTATCGATACTGTAGGGCGAAGCCGGAGATTAGCCTAGAAATAAAATGACTTCCCTGCGTGAAGTGATTAAAAAATTCCTGCGTGCTGAAGGAAATGTTTGGTTTGGTCAGCCCGAACAACTTCGATCAAAGCGGTGGGACTTATTACATTCTTTTCTCTAATCTCGCCTGTTCTTGTCGTCACTAAAACGAAAAGACGCGGTGAAGCGAACCAAAGTTATTCTTCAATATCATTATCTCACTTCTGAACAGTTTTTAAGCCCTTCGTGTTTACGTCGTGTGAACGTTCCGCTCCTGTTTGTAATTATCGGTAACGTATACGTCATAAGACGTCGTATTACAGTTTAAAAGCCTCTCACGTCTCCTGGTTTCCATTTTCGTAATTGCTCGCTTCAAAATCCAGGGTTAAGATGAGACATCTCGGTTTCTTGGTTCAGAGGAGAGTCTTTCCCTTTCAAAGTTCACGTGTCCGCACCTGATAAAATTAGAACATACGACACACAGCAAAATGAGAATAAAACTCAATAAATATTACAAAAAAAAACGTCCATCTTCCAACCCGTGTGAATGTTTACAAACGCACAGAGATAGTATAGTTGCGTCATATTGTGATATTAATTAAAATAATTATTATATTTGTTTACCGTCAAATCACAATAAAATAGTAAGATAAGATAATTAATTAATTAATTAATAACGAACCTCGTTCCGAGATGGTAACACTTCTGGATCTCTCCTCTGAACACATCTGAACCGATTGCTATTTCATATATGACTGACATAAACATCAATAACACCACCTCAACAATAATGTTATATTAATAATATCTAGACACAACTTCCATAAAATATACTGAGAAAGATGATAAAATTATAAAATTGTAAAAACTATAAATAATTGTAATTTGAGTTTAAAAGTTTATAATTTACACCTGATGACGGTTTGATAAACCGAAACATGTTGTGAATGTTCCGATGTAAATCGAATGCTCGATATGGAACATAAGATGATATTTTAATCATTTTAATTATCTTACCCGGTTTCTCCATTCACACACAGAAGAAGGCAATGGCAAACCACTTCTGGATCATCTGCCAAGAACGTATATGAACAGGTCCCAGTCCGAGAAAAGGATGGAAGGATCCTGTTCATATGGACCTGTCGTCAGACAGAACACTGCAAATAAATAAATACTATTTTATTGTGATTTGCCGGTAAAACAATATAATAATTATTTTAATGCACAGAGGTCAACGCGTAATGCACTTGAACGGGTATGGTGGTCACCCCTGACCACTGCAGGTCGTCCGTCCGTAGCTTTGCCGTCGGTTTTCTGAACAGCTGCGGTCACCATGTGCGAGTACGACTGGTAACCTAGTTTGCAGGAGCAACTGGACAGAGGGAGACTGCGACAAGTGACAGGCTCAGGGTAATGGATGGGACTCTAATGGGACGAGAACGAAAATGCAATTGAAGACACAGTAAAGTTGGTTGTATCAGGACTAGAAGTGGCCGTCACTAGAAATGAGTTTACGATTTACCTGACCTAGTTTCAGTCTGCAAATTGAAAATTAGTTTCCCGTCTATTTAACTGTACCAAATTCAATTGGATGCGAGGATCCTTTAAAGAATAAACGCGCACAGTTACTTACGGATTTTGTAGTCTGTCTTCCTGTCACGTGGTAGTGCCTACCAGAACACTTCGTTTCCTCAGTCGATAATTTAAAAAACACGATGACACATTCACAATTTCTTTCTGCGAAAATATATTTTCCATCCCGCAGACTTGTCCGCTTTCGATAAGAGAGAACATTACAGTGTATAAGTCTATAATATTACGTGTTGTTTATATCTGTATGAAATTTTGTTATTTATTTGTTGATTATTTAACGATGCTGTTTAAGTAGCTCAGACAATATAGCGTCGAATCTTGAAGGGACTGGATAAAACGACGAGAAGTCACAGCCAAGGTAGCCGATTTCCGGGTAAAAGGACAATCTTGCTGAATAAGAAGATTCATGATATCGATAATCCAAACGAGTCCGTGCTCAAGTATCGATCTTAGCTCTTGTATTCCTCGTCACTTCTCCAACTTCTCGAGATGATTAAAACCCATCTCCACTGTGTCACGTGACGAAGGACGATTAAGTTGCGTCTTCGGATTATGTCTTCTTCTCTGTCTAACGAGAATGAACTGAAAGTCTTCTCACGTTTCTGAAATATTATTTCAGGTCAAAAGTGAAGAGTGGTAGAGTTACTAACCGGAAAAGAAAGGCTATTTTAAGGTTCCAATAAAGTAACCGACGGTCCGGGTAGATTACTTCAGGTTCGGCTCGTTTACCGACGCTGTTTCAAGTGGAAAATGTTGTATGACGTCGAAAGATGACGAAGCAGGAAGGGATCTGAAAAAGTTTGAGTCCTCAATACACGAATTCCAAGTCACACGGCGAGACTTTAGGAAAATCACGAAAATATCGATCAAGAAATTCTTTGGCCCTGCGGATTTTTAGACCGTTCGTTGAAAGTATTCTGTCGCGGTCAAAGGTCAGAGTAGAAGGACATTTGGTGTTTTTCCGTGCTGCAACCGACGTCCTCCTCGCAAAGGACCTACGGGTCTCCGCTGAAGTGTTAAGCACGCCTGAGATGAGCTTTTGTTAATCATGCGCCGAACTTATTGCAACATTCACTTTTTTTTTACAGTTGTGAAAATAGAAACTGTATCGGATTGTTGCTACATCTGCTTCAAGATGTGCGAAGTTTACTCTTGAACACAGGACTGTGTATCTTTTCTTTCGTTTTGTTTACAAATCGTGTGAAATCGAAGGACATTTGTACTGTTGGTACAGTACAGAGTATTTGTTTTTAGTCACATTAACTTAATACACGTTAAGCTACTTATTTGTCACCAAATATTATTGTGGCCAATAAAATTGGAAGGACATGTAGTATGCGTGGGAGACATAAGGTTCCCATGTAACACTTCAGTCGGAAAACTGAGAGGACGAATCCACCTGGGAAATCTAGACGCAAATGGGAGGATAATAAGAAAAAGTATGCAAAATAAGTAAATAAATATGGTATGAAGGATTCACTACCTCAGTGTGGAGTCCAGTGTGGAGTCCAGTGTGGAGTCCAGTGTGGAGTCCAGTGCTGGACCCTTAAGAAGTTTCTGGATCTCATAAAACGCGGTGACTGCCTGAACATTGAGGCAGACTCCAGCTTAATCTTATAATATATTAATTACATGCTTTTAAGATATTTAACTCTGCCTGCATTTTGACGTAGCCTCACAGACAAAAGCACAAGACATAGTGAATGTTAGAAGCTTGACGCTGCCAAATTGATTTCTTGTTCGAACACAAAACTTTTGTTACTTTTTAAACGGGAGAAATTTCTTAAACGATTCGCCGTCACAATGTTGTCATAGAGTGGCGTGAAACGAGATTTTGCAACACGCCGCTGTGTGTGTGTGTTTACGGGCAGGCGGGCGGGCGGGAGGGCGGAGGGTTTGCAGGACCCAGCTGGCACATCCTCTGCGATCTCCCAGGAGACATTATCCTTCACTGTCCATTATGAAGCATTCTTCCCGTCTCCGTGTCTACAGTCTAGCAGCGAAGAATTCTCTCACTCAGCAGGGAATTTCTTTTCCATGGGAATCAATTTAATATCCTATTTCTGCAGATGAAACTTGTATTATGTCTGCGAAGTGCGTTACTTTTATTAGGATTTCTGGAGCCATTTCATCGTATTTTCTGGACAGTGACACACGCATTTTTTAACTTCCTTTTCTACCATTCTCTGTCGCTCCCGCATTCTCCCCTACGTTCCATTCGCCATTACCTTCTTCAGACACTTCGTTCTTTTCTCTTATGTTCTCGTTCCGTCGCCAGGCGGCCTTGTCCTCAAGGGTAACCCGTGGACGTGCGACTGTGGACTGGTGTGGCTGGGCCATTGGCTGAGGCGGTGGTTGCGGGAGACGATGCAGATCCACACCGTGGTCCTAGAGGGGGCACAGCAGATGCAGAACCTCGCCCGGGAAGCGACCTGCACGGACCCCAGGACGGGACAACAGACCCCGATACTCGATCTCTACCCCGAAGACCTCAGCTGTCACGCCAGTGCGCTGAGCAGAGGAGGATCTTCCTCGAGATGTGCTTTCAGTAGCAGGCACCAGAGGACGCTTGTCGTGTTACTTCTCATGTACTGGTGGTCTTGGTGACGTCACGCTTAGGGTTTCTGTCGGTGAATCGGAAAGACTGGCTGGTATTTTGTGTCTTGTGGTGAAGACACGTCATCCGGGGACAGGGGGAAATTCAGAATGAGAGTAATTAAAATATGCATAAGCAGGTCTGTGAAACGAGATATGTGTGGAGCTGGAACGGGGGTACTTCATAAGAAATTACGTAAAGCGGATATCGCCTCAAGGTGAAGCTGTGGATTAAAGTCTGAAGTAAGGAGCTTCTGTGTCTTTGCTGTTCTACAATTCTATTCGGAAAACGTCAGTGCGTTATTAAACAGCTAAGGAACTGGACTGAAACTGTTTAATTGGGATTTTTTTCGAGCTGAAAAACGTGAACGTCAAGGAACGCAACCGAAACATACTTACGAATTTGCAGTCAAAATTTAATTAAAACTACATTAACGCTTTGAAGCTAAAAGAAGAGAGAGAGAGAGGAAACAGTTTTGCGCGGGGGGGGGGGGGGGGGGGGGGCGCTACATACCATCACGACTGCAGACGCATGCATAACCTACTAGTTTAGCACGTCTATGACGCGTTTGACCCACAGCCTTGTGTTTAGAAGTGTGTGTACCTGCATCTCTGCCGAAAAACATGCCATTCAGGAGGGATTTTTCTGATGTTTCTTCATTACACACATTTTACGTTGTTGCCTGTTTGTGGTGATGAGTACTCATCGCCCTGATGATG